TGTGATGATCATTAATGATTTATTAATGATCAGCTTGTTTTTATTTGCTTTTTAAAAGACCAAAATGATATTAAAAAAAAAAATGAATTCTGGCTCTGTAACCGACGACCAAAAACAAACCATTATGAAAAATGCATTAAAATAAAGAAAATGCGTTGTAGTATAAACTATTAGTACTATTCAAATGCTTTAAAAAAATACTTATGGATAATTGCAAATAAATGCAAATTATTTATTACATGTTTTGTTTTACCACATATTATAAATCAACTTAACCGATTTATATTTGACAATAATTTTTTAGAGTATTCTAAACTGTATCATTTAAAAATACCAAATCTTGTTCGTATACGGATATAATGTGTACGAAGGATTTTTAACGTTTTCGTATGAGGTACAAAATAGACCTCTATGTGCTAGGAGCGCAGGACTCGGACGATATTGCCGCGACTATTCGTAGCGGTCGGCGGCCGGACGATATTCCCGCGACGAGTCATCGGCGGCAACCGTCGCCGACGCAAAGCACACAGAACCTCATGTTCTCCTGGTACTGTGTGTTCCTTGATAAAATTCTGCCGACCCCAACCGACAAATCCGCCCTAGAAAAGTTCCGAAACCTTGATCAAATAATAACAATTATTGTTTTTATTATAATTGTTTGATCTTTATAACGACGTCATTATACGAGGTCTGGCTATTAAAAAACGAGACTGCTTATGAAAAATAGTTTTATTTTAAAAATAATTCCACAACCAAATTTTCCCCTTCAATATACTCTCCTCACCTCTTCACACACCGTTTCATTCGTTTCTTCCATTGCTCGAGGCAGTGCTGGAAGCCTGTTTTCGTAAAACCATTCAGGAGAACCAACGATTTTTGCTTCACCTCTTCCATCGACTCAAACCGGATTCCTCTTAAGGCAGACTTTATCTTCGGAAACAAGTAAAAGTCGCAGGGTGCCAAGTCGGGTGAGTAAGGCGCGTGTTTGAGTACTGGAGTGCCTTAAGCGGCCAAATAACGCTTCACAGACAGCGCGTTATGGGCAGCGTTATCCTGGTCAAGATCCACGACTTGTTTTTCCACAATATCGACCGTTTCTTATGAACTTATTCGCGCAATGTTGCAAAAACTGTCAAATAGTAATGTTGGTTCACAGTTTGACCCTCTGGAACTCATTCAGTCATCACGATCCCGTTGATATCGAAGAAAACGGTTTTGTATTTGGATTACGACTGAATTGGATTCCGGTGCACTCTCGACCTTCAGAAAATAATTTATGCCACTCAAAAATACGCGCCCGAGATAGGAAATCCTCACTATTGGCCTCTTTTAACAACTTATAGCACTCAATTGAAGTTTTTTTTAGTTTAACGATAAAATTTTACGTTTATCCGTTGCTCATGTTTTTCGTCACACATCGTTTTCGGCAAGAGAAAAAAACATGTTCGAATCTAAACGCTACTGAAAAAATACTAATGAACCAACAAAAACCCAATTTTGTACTGGCATAAAAGACACTTCCAGCTAACCAGCGCTGTATTCGGTTTTCCCCTAACCTCTTTAGAACGCTCTGTGCGCGCGCAATCTCATTGTTTAATAGCCAAACCACGTAATACGACGGCTTTATCCACATTTTAATTTTGAACCCATTCGGACGATATTTTTAAATGCACCTAAATACTCTTTAAATACTCTAGATACGCACACGTAACAACGCGTCGTACCCCCGGAACTTATTGTAGAAATACTAATTTAATATATTATCACATACCTTTACATTAAACCACAAACAGAATCTCGCGTTTGATCATATGTCACAGCTGTTATACAGTAACCAATCGCAATAATATGATAATAATTATACAAATTTTGAATCCTATACGAAATTCAGAATTCAGAATTCAATAATAAACAGTTATTAAATTTTCACTGTCGCTTTCGGATAAAAATTTAAATACGTTGTTTACGTTGTCCGCGCACGGCCTACGAACACAATGTGCACGGACGACGCATTCGTACGAGGTACAAGAGAGACGTCGGCGTACCAGGAGCGCAGGGGACTCGGACGTTGTTGCCGCGACCTTTCGTAGCGGTCCGCGTCCGAACGATATTGCCGCGACGAGTGGCAGGTATCGGCGGCAGAACATTATCCCCGCGACGAGTCGTCTAATATTATACGAATATATTGTTTATGACGCACTTTCAACGCGGTTCAACACGTTCAACGCGGTTCAACACGTTCAACTTTCGCGGTTCATACGTACGCGGTCCGAGGGAGACGTCGACGTACCAGGAGCGCAGGAACCGGACGTTGTTGCCGCGTCGGGACGTCGACGGTAGCCGTCGCCGCCGCAGCACACACCGAAGCTCATGTTCTCCTGGTCATAAATAAAATTCCCGTTTCGATGCCGACCCCAGCAGAGATCGGCCCTAGAAAAAAAAAAATGTCTCACAACGTTTAAAAGTATTATTATTATTTATTATTTGTACGTATGACGTCATTATATTATTTTGATGATGGTTATCCGTATTTTAATTTC